TCTGTACCAGCTCAGCGAAGGATCTGTGCTAGCAGGCTGAAGGATCTGCAGTGAGCCAGGAAACAACACTCAAGGTAAAGACCAGAGCTCCCTCAAAGAGAAACAGCTATCCTCAGTGCCAGCAAGGATCCGAGTTCCTCCAACGATGAGAGCTTCCAAGTTCATATCAGGAAAGTCAGCATGACAAACTTCTCCAGGAGCATCAACAACACACCATCTTCCCCTCCAGTTCTGCTTTTATGGTAACAATCCTGAGGCCAACCTTCCCCATCCAGAACCATGCTCAATTAGTTCAGCAGGGTGTTACAAATTGACCATTAGTTGTTAATCCACCACACGAAAAAAGACAAGAATACCTTAAATCCATATAATTTAGTCTTATGCCAAGATGAAACATTTCCCATCTTATAAAACAGGTTCCCACTTAAAGCTATCGCCTTAAGTCTGGGGGTTAATATATTGGATATTGTGATTGTTTCAGCAACATCCTTCAACATTAGCCTGTCATGAGCCTTGGGAGAGGAGTAAGGGGGTGATCATGCTCTAGCCCTGGGGGAGGAGTTCTGTATCAGCCTAAACCAATCTGTAAATCTGCCCATTTGACAAGCTTGTGACAGGTAGGTTGAATTACAATGAAGCTTGCAAGATTTTTGTCTTCTAGTTTTTTTTTAAATTAATTAATTAATTTATTTGTGTGTGTGTATGTGTGTGTGGCCAGCTCAGCCCACCAGGAGGCAGGGCTGGCTGGCATGTGGTGCTGGGGGATTGAACCGTGGTCCCTCTGCTTTGTTAAGCTTGTTCTAAGTAGGTGCTTTAGACCACTGAGCCATCTCACCAGCCCTGTCTTCTAGTTTTGTTTCATTCTCTTGCTGAATAAGCCAGCACATAGTTCCAGTTGCTGTTTATAGTCTTCCAGTGGCCACATGAGCAGCCAGCCTTAGGATATGATGATGCTGGGTCCAGCCTATCCTGAAGTCCTTCCTAGTGGTGCACTTGTTTGCACATAAGCTAATACCTATCTGTACATTATAGTTACTATGTGTGCCAGTTGTTTTAGTTTTTCACTGTTCGTGATGGAATGTCTGGGCTCACCAATGCTGGACTCAACAATGCTGGGCTCACTAATGCTGGGCTCACTAGTGCTGCCACTGATTTATACCCCCAGTCCTCCTACTTGTGGCAGATTGAGTCAAGTTTTTTTGTTTGCACCCAATAAATGTAATTATGGTAGAGCAGATGTCCTAACATCAGTTACCACATTTTTGTTTACTAATTTGCATGTTTCATATGCTCATTCTGTACCTTCAGGATGACAGCCTTTTGATGGCCTGGGTTAATCACTGTTTAAATCTAGTGTGCCCCAAGAGTCTTGTTTTCAGAGCTGGGCCCTGATTTAAGGGTGAGGTTGGGCCGGCCAGACAGCTCAGGGGATTAAAGCGCCTGCTTAGGCAGATGCAGGGATAGGGAATCCCCAGTGTGCATGCCAGCCCTGTTCCCGGGGTGCTCTGAGATGGCAACTAAGACTGGGCGTTGTGGCGCGGGCCTGTAATCCCAGTACTTGGGAGCCTGAATACAGGAGAACCACTACGAGTCTGATCTGTGTAGTGAGACTCTGTACACCCTGTATTAAATACATAAAAAGGGAGAGGGTGTGGTTCACTGGGAATGTGACCCAGAAGGGTGTATTCTTGTCCCTAGCTTTCCCTTCTCCATGTCTTGGCTGCTATGGATTGTGCAGCTGTCTTCTACCAAGCCATTTCTGCCTTGGAACCAATAACCATGGACTGAATCCACCAAAACCATGAGCCAAAATGAACATCTTCAAGTTGTGTCAGGTATTTTGTCCTACTGACAGGAAGGTGACTAACAGAAAATGGATACCAGAGAATTGGAGTGATTGTGGTGACTCCATGACCATGTAGCTTAGAAGGCTTAGTAAGTGATTTTTAGGAAGAGTTTGGAAAGATTCAGAGATGCTATCTAGAGAAGCTCTAGAATTCAGTAAGCCAAACTTGATAGGTGATTCTCGTGGCGCTTAAAAGAACAGAATGCTAATAGAAATATGAACAGTAAAGACCAGGATAAGAATATTTGGAGTATGAATGAAGATTATGTTGGAAACTTGACTAGAGCCCATGTGTATTTTATGCTGGCAAAGAATTTGTCTACTTTTTGTCCATGTATTAAGATTTTGTGTGAGGCAGAATTTAAAGGTGGTGAAGCACCTGCCTGGCAAGTGCAAGGAGTTCTATCCTTGGCACCACAGAAAAAATAAATAAAATGAATTTAAAGGTGGTGGACTAATTTATCTGGTAGAGGAAATTTCAAGGTTGCCCAGTATTCAGGCTGTGGTATGGGTACTGCTGGCTGTTTTTGGCTTGGTTTGCAGTTGGAGTCAGAAGCAAAAAGCAGCAGAGTGATTTGAAAAAACTTACAGCTTGGCCAGAAAAGGAAGGACCTATAAAGCTGGGGCTACGGAAAGTGTGTTTGCTGAAAAGATTAACATTCAAAAGAAGCCTAGCACTTTGCATCAAGACAGCAGGAGATTCCATGAGGGAATATCAGGAAATGACTGGGACCAGTGGTACATGCAGTTACCATGCAGTACTTATAGAAGAAATGGCCAGACCCTACCTACAACAGGGTTTCCTGCTCATTCAAGGCCACCTAGGTATGTGTGTCCCTGAGTTCAGCCATCTAAACTCTCAGAGGCAGCTGCACGCATGGCCCCAGGGGACCCCGCTATTGCTTGAACTGGAAGCATACCTTGCCATCGTCTGCATGGTGCTCTTTTGTCAGGTGTGCCGAAGACAAGAGTTGTGGGGCCATGGGGCCTTCCACCCAGATTGCCACTGCCTGAGAGAACACAGTGCATTCAGCTGTGGAGTGAAGCCAGGGGTTCACCACAGACTCCAGGAAGTTGGAGGTCCCAGGAATATGGAACATCAGGAAAAACTGCAGGTGGTGAGCTGAGGCAACCCCAGAGAGAGGCTGTGTGGGCTGGAACCAGCAAAGCAATAGGGATTGGACTCCCCAAGCCCCTTGGAACTCGCATCTCAACAAAACCTGCCCCAGGTGCTGGACAGGAAGCTACAGGATTTAGGGTTTGCCCTGCTGGGTTTTGGTCTTGATTTGATCTGATTCCATTGTGTCTTCTTTTTAGAATAGGAATATTTATCCTGTGGCACTCTCTGAAAGGTTTTTTTTTTTGGTTTTTTTTGTTTTTTGTTTTTTGTTTTTTTTTTGATGGCTCAGGATGCCTTCAGGGCATTTCTAGTATGGCTTGAGGATCTGGGGATCGAACCACAGCAACCTGAGCCTGACTGCTCTGTTTAAGCAGTCACTTAAACAACTGTGCTAATGGGCAGTTAGTTTTTTGGCTGGCTCAGGATGCCTTCAGGACAGGTCTGGTAAGGCTTGATGATGGGTAGGGGGGTATCAAACCACAACATTCCTGGGGTGGGGGTGGGGGTGGAAGTGGGTGGATTCATCCCCAGGCTTGCTGAGCTGGCCCTGCCCCCAGGGTGTGCTGAGACAGCAATTGAGACTGGGCATGGTGGCTTGCACCTGTAATCCCAGCGCTTGGGAGGCTGTAAACAGGTGGATCACTAGGAGTCTGGTCTAGTAGTGAGACCCTGAACACGCTGTAGACCCTTCCCTAAAATACAAAAACAACCAAACAAACACAAATGAATTAGTTTGACAACACAGTATTTTTCTCAGGATGGGGAAGGCAAAGAAACAGTGATTAAAGCCAAAATCTCCTTTATAGGGCAGAGGGGGGAAAACTGTGACATTGTGTTAGTAGCTCTTTTCTGTGGCAAATTTGGGTCATTTCCAGTAGTAGTTTTCACTGCCCGCCGGTAGGCAGGGGACACACCGATGTACCTGCCACACAGGGAAGGAACCCAGAAAGAAGTCTCTGAAAAGGAGCAGGATCAGCACCAAGTTCAGAGTTAAGAACAGTGCCCAAAACTAAGCAGCTACTTGAATATTTATTACTGAGCCAGTGGGTTGATCTCAGTCACTTACTTCTCAGAAGCCAGATGCAGAGAGGGCAGGAGGATGCGGTCGCTTAGAGGTGGAAGTCTTACGGCCTTTCCCCCCTCTGAACAGCAAGTGAAAGGGAGGCTTCAACCCAGATGGCGGTCCAGAACCCGGGGATGATGGCTTCTCTCCACAGGATGATAGCCTGGGAACTGCTGAACATCGCTGGCACTCCTCGCATCCTCCATAGACGGATGGCGGGTGATTTACACTCCACCCGCCTGGCGGGGCCGGGTCCATGGTGCACATTTATGTAGCCCTCGTCCTCACACGGGAAATCCGTTCAGCCCGCTATCGGGTAAACCCAGCCAGCGTCCCCGTCTGCACTTGCTGCATGGGGGCTGCTACTCCTAGGGAGTTGTGAGGCGCACATTTAAATGGGATTTGGGATTAAGGCCATATTTGCCTGTCAGGGAAGTTTTAAGTTTTAGCACCCCCTAACTTGGGCGCAAACTGGAATCATGTAAAGAGTTTAAATAAACACTGGGGGTCCAATTCAATCTTAACTGGTTTAGGATGTTTCCTGGACAGGGTACTTTAAAAAAAATAAAATTTTTAAAAAATTCTGCTGAGCCACCTCCAGGGCTGATAAACTGCTAAGGGGTTTACAGCATCTCGGGGCCTCATCCTTAAGCCTCTGAACCTCTCTTCCCCACCGCAGCGAATTTCCAGGGGAACAAGTAAGACTGCAAGGTTGGGCAAGCAGGGGCACGTACACCTGACTGGAGGACTGGCCGGTGGTCCACGGACCCAGGTTCCCGCGTTCGCCCCGCCCACCCAGCGCTCGCCCCGCCCACCCGCGCTTGCCCACGTCTCTCCTCACTTTCACCCCGACCCACCCGCGCGCCAGCCGGGACCCGGATCGCCCCGCCCACCGCGCCGGCCAGGCCCCGCCCCGCGCGCGCCTCCCCGCGACCTTCTTCCTCTCGCGAGGACTCCCGGCACCGGAAGTTTCCGTAGCGCAAGGCCGGCCTGAGGGACCGGAGGGACGGAAAAAGCGCAGGGCCTATTTGGTCGCTCCGGGGTCTCTCTGGCGTCGCCCGGTCAGTGCTCTCATAGGCACCACGTGGTCGGGGACGCCGCCGGGCTCTCACGAGGCGTCGTCGCAGGGCCGCGCCCATGTTGCGTTTTCCGACCTGCTTCCCATCCTTCCGGGTGGTGGGAGAGAAGCAGTTGCCGCAGGAGATCATTTTCCTGGTGTGGTCGCCCAAGCGGGACCTCATTGCTTTGGCCAACACCGCGGGCGAGGTAAGTGACCCGTTTCCGCTCCTGCAGGCTCTGCGGACCCGCCCGCCTCGCTCCTGCTTCCAGGTCGGCTGCAGACTTCAAGTGAAAATACAAAGCTCTGTCAGCCTAAATGACTGCTACACCCACTTGTGGTATTACACGTCGAAAAGAATCATTTTCACACAGTTCGATAAAAGTCACACAGTCCCGCACCTGTGAGTCGCTTTCATTCATTGGTTTGTATCTCTTTTCATTGATTTGTGTCTCAGAAGCTCATAATTGTCACTGCGCATGAGCTGCACGTAGTAGTAGATCGCGAGTCCTAAGTGCTCTCAGTTTAGTAGCAGAATCATGATGAGCGAATGTCCGGTCTTTCTGCGAGTGTGCATGCGTGAAGCTGCACAAGATGAGGTTTAATATCTGGGACTGTTGGCCACCTTCTGTTGAAAGAACTTTAAATATTCCAGCTCACACTGTGTTAGCTTCATCAAGGGTCACCTGACTGTTCCCACCTTTCTGATGCCAGGTATGATTCCTGGATGGCAGTATTGGAAGGAAGCCGTCACCTGTGCCTCTTCCTCTGCCGGCCTCTTGGCCTTTCTCTGCATAGTGACCTGTAAAAGGTGTGCTGTGTGCGGCCAAGTTCGGAAACCGCAGTAGGTGGTGAGGAAATGTTAGCAGCCAGGGAAACCGCAGCCTGCAAAACCGCCCCACGATGTTGTCTGCCCTGATGCAGTCACTGGGGTCTCAGTGCCTAGTTTTTCAGGACCCTGAATGGGTCTTCTAGTGTCTGCCCTCTTTGCTGGGGTGCTCTGGAACTGTCATGGTTCTGCAGGGCAGTGCACATAGTGTGGCCAGCATGGTGGAGGGAAGTTAGGGACGAGGGGCTTCTGAACAGGTAGGTGTGATGCAGCACCGTTGCTCCCACTTTCGCCAAGCAACAGCACAAGCCCCTGAAAGTAAATATGGAGAAGAGAAGGAAGAGATATCAGAGGCTGACAAAGGTCCCTGGGGGCCCAGGAAAGCCTCAGAGTACTGCCAGTCAGTGTTACGAGGTGCGTGAGCTTAGTGGTCTAGTGATCTGAAATCTCACCTTGTTTGCAGTGGTTGTGTGGAAGCCAGAGGAACGGAGGTCTTGGTTTCAGTGCGCAAGGAGCCCATGGGCATCACCGTGACCTTCGAAGGTGGCATTTACTGGAGTGGGAATAGAAACCTAGAGTTAATAAGTGCCTTATCTAAGATCCAGGGCTAGAAAGGAACACAGCTGAAATTACGTCCAGGTTGTCTGAACCCAACTTTATTTGTGTCTATCACAGCTATGTTTTTAGTGTTGTTTGTGTTACTTCCTTTGTATTGCCTGTTTCTAGGACAGCTTCATATCCCTTTCTGAAAGGTAAGTCTCCTGTGGATGTAAAAGACAAGAAAATATATAGGGTGCAAGGTTAAGTGAGATCTGATTTTACTCATTTCTTGTAAAATATTCTACATTCATTCAGGTACTTGAATTCCTCTGAAAGGTATTTTACTTAAGAAAGAGATACAAGGTTTTTTGGTTTTTTTTGAAATGGAATTTTGAATTTTCTCCCATCGTGTTTGTTTTAGGTTCTACTTCATCGACTTGCAAGTTTTCATCGAGTTTGGAGTTTTCCACCAAATGAAAATACAGGAAAGGAAGTAACCTGTCTGGCTTGGAGACCAGATGGCAAACGTAAAGTACTTTTCATTTTCCTAAAGAATATTCTGCAAAACTGGTTGTGGTGGTGCATGCCTGTCACTTAGCAGTCCAACAATCCCGGAGGCTGAGGCAGGAGGATGGTAAGATGAACCCAGCATGCACAACGTAGCAAGTTCTTGGGCCCTGTCTTAAAATCCGGAACTTACAACAGTGATTGGGAACCTAGCTCCGTGGGAAAGCCCTGAGTTCCTTTCCTAGTACTGTCGTACAAATAGGAAGGTGGGTAAATAGGTAGATACCCAATACTGCCAAATAAATAGCATACGAGCCGACAGTAATCTGTGAAGAAAGCCTATTTACCCAAAGAATTAGTTGTTCTTAGTGTACATTAGAATTGTGAGTTCTAGTTTTGGAATTCTTTTTTAGAATGCTTTAGCTTTTTCATAAGAACTCTGGTGAATTCTATCATCTTGTCTCTTGGTAAAGAACACTTGAGATCTGATTACTTGGCAGAGAAAACTCAAATCTTATGGCATACAGAAAATACTTTGTCTTTTTCTTTGTTTTTTTTTTTTTTCTTTTCTTTCTTTTTTTTTTTTTTTTGCTCTTTTTGTTCTATACCATTTGACGGGCACCACCTGTCACTCACCAGTGCCATCATAGTCTTTCTCTAAAAATGTCTTTGAGCCTGGTGTGGCACAGGCCTGTAATCTCACCGCTAGGCAGGCGGGGCAGGAGGGTTGCTGTGAGTTAAAGGTCAGCCTGAACTACATAGTGAGATCCTTCTCAGCCCCCACAAACAATCCAAAACAACAACCAAACCAAAACAAAATGTGGCACTAAACCTGACACTCGTAAATATTTCATGTATGTGTGTTTGCCCCACTTGCACTGTTGCTGCTTCCCTTTCCCTCTGGCCTTTTTCCCCCTGCTCCCTTTTGTGTTGTAGCTTCATGCGGCTCTGATCTAACATGTACACTACGTGCTTTTCAATGCTTAATATTTTTTAAGGTAAATACAAATAAGTACTTAATTTTCTCAAAGCCTATCACTTGGCAGTAACAGCCATTTCAATTTTTGTGAATAACTTTTTTTTTTTAAGTTTTATTTATAAAGATTTAAGTTCACCTGGAGAGGTACAGGCCTGTAATCCCAGCACTCAGAAGGATTTTTTTTTTTTTTTTTTTTTTGGTGGCTCCAGATTGCCTCCAGCGCTGGTCTGGATATCCTTGAGTATGCAGGAGTCAAACCACCGATCCCAGAGAATGACTGCTTTGTTTAAGCAGGCACTTAAACAACTGAGCTAGTGGGCAGGCCCTCAATCCCGTGAATAACTTTTATAACATTTCCTAATAAATATATATAGGGATCTGTATATACTGCTTTATCAAAAGAATGCAGTGGTTGGGCCAAACTTTTTGATTCTCCTGTCTCAGCCTTCCAAAGAGCTGAGATTAGAGGCATGTGCCACCGGGCTGAGCTTCTTTCTGTTGGTTAAACATGCTTATGGAACTAGTGTGCTATGATAATAAATTAGTTATCTGTTGACACCTGTTCTGCTGCACATAGGATTTCAGTCTAGAGACTTTGGTGTTTAAGACATTAAGTACAGCAGGTCAGAAAATACACTGCTGGTGCAATTTGAAAATAAGCTTAGATAACAACATAACTATGTAGTGATCTACTTAAAGTATTAAAGGGGAAATGTATATGTCATTTCTGTGATTAAGATATGTTTAATATAGTAGAATCTATTTTCTCAAATGTTATGCTAATTAGTTCTGTTCTCTACTCTTTTTCTAGTTTTGGCCTTTGCCCTTGCTGACACCAAGAAGATTATTTTGTGCGATGTAGAAAAGCCTGAGAGCTTGCACTCCTTCTCTGTGGAGGCTCCCGTCTCCTGCATGCACTGGATGGAGGTCACTGCCGAGAGCAGGTACAGAGAACCACACAGGCCTTGCTGGGCGCACAGCGAGTGCTCAGCATTGCCTGACTCTCAGTGTTGAGCGGCAGCATGTTGCATTTCAGTTTTGGTTTTGAATGTGTCAAGATGAAATCTGTGTGTGTGTGTGTGTGTGTGTGTGTGTGTGTCTTTTTGAGACAGGGTTTCGCTATGCAACTCAGGCTGGCCTTGGGCTCACTTTGTAGCCCAGACTGGTCTCGAACTTGCAGTTATCTTCCTGCCTCAGCCTCCTGAGAAGTGGGATTACAGGTATGCACCACCATATCCAGCAAGATGAAATCTTTTTTAAAAATTAATTTTATTGAGAAACAAATGGCAATGAGACAGTTTCAAAACTGATTAGTAGGACAGTTTCAGTAATTAATACATTGCATATTATTGTCTAAGATGGAATCTTTTAATGCTGCATTAGCTTTGTTTTCTTCTAAAAAAAAAAACTTTAGTACTTGATCAGTAATGCCTGAATGACCAAGATTCTTCTCATTTTTCTAGGGGATTATGTTGATGATTTACCCTTTGAAATAATACTAATTCACATTACTGATTTGGAAATTGTGGCTCTGCTTTGTCTTTCAATGTTTATTCTGTTTAGCTCTTTGCCTATTGTGTCTAAGTGAATATTCTTAAGAGATAGAAATGCTAACCTGTGCACTCTGCTCTGCTGCTGCACAGGCCATTTGTGTGTCTGTGTCCTCATCTTTTCCTTCTTTCCTGAAGACAGTTTTGCCTTTACACTCTGTGCCCCTGAGGTACTACAGGCTTGAGGTAAACACAGGCTGAACAGGTCAATGAATCTTGTTACCGTAAAAGCATTTTCCTTTTGGGGGGAGATAATGGAACTTTCTTTCATTAGCTTCTCTTACCAATTAATTTCCACTGAGTTAATATCAAATGAACTTATAAATCCTGAGTGATCTTGGACAGCTTCCCTAAGGGGATTTTAAAGGATAACAAGAATCTAGCCTGGGTTTAAAATTCACTGTAGGTAAACTGGAGTCATTCATTCATCATGAAATAGAGATTGCACATGATTATATGAGTTTCTAGAAAGCAGAGGAACAGGATGTGATTCACATCCTACCCTACTTACCTGCTAAGAGTATTCCCAACACACTTTCTGCTAAGAGTTTAGAAATGTTAGCAGGGTTTCCAGGCTTTCAGGACTGCTAAATGTTAACCTGGGCAAAAAGCAATTTCCACATCACCACTTTTTCACTTGCTCAGTCGTTTATTTCTAACTTTGTTTAGAGGCAGTATTGAAAAAGAAAACAGAATTAAGTAAGATTGAGATTACAGGTACGCTGGCTTTTGCCCATAACCCCAGTACTGGCGAGGCTGAAGCAGAAGGATCACTGGGAGCTTGAGGACCGCCTGGGCCGAAACTTAGCGTAAGGGCAGCCTAGAGTATACAATGAAATCCTATATCAAAAAAAGACTGTTAAAATTCATGATATACCTGCTGGGTGTCAAATCCTGTAGTGTATATAAGCCATAGAAACTGTAATTAAAGGCCAGGCATGGTGATGCACACCTGTAATCTCAGCACTTGGGAGGCTGAGGCAGGAAAATCTTAGCAAGTTCAAGACCTGCCTGTTCTATAAGTGATCTCAAGGCCAGCCTGAATTGCATAGTGAGACCTTATCTCCAAAGGCCAGAAAAAAGAAAAACAAAGTATAATTAGATAATAAAATACAGTTTTCTATAGAAATATTCTTAGTAATTGAGTGTTTTTTTTTTTTTTTTTTTATTTTGGCGGAACCGGGGATTGAACTCAGGCCCTTGTGCTTGCCAGGGAAGCGCTTATTCCACTGAGCGATCTCCCCGGCCCCATAATTGAGTGTTTAATGTGGTTTCTTAGAGTTGAATCATAGGTGTTCAATCAGTAGCTGAAGACTGCATACATATGAATATATTTCATAAGAAAACTTAAATAGTATTGTATTTACTCTTCTAAATGTAGAGTAGGTGGACAAATATGTTTTTTGAGATGGGGTCTCACTATGTGATTGAGGCTGTCCTTGAACTCACTGTAGGCCAGGCCAGCCTCAAAGGCATGTCAGTCCTCTTGCCTCAGCCTCTGGAGTGCTAGGGTTACTGGGCTGTGCCATCACACCTGGCTGGCAAATTTGTTTTGCAAGAAGTAATAAATTTATACTTTTTACTTCTCATCTGTTGTTAAGAATGACTGTTTTATAATGGTAAAATATTCCTCGTGCCTATTTGGTAATGTTACCAAGCTAGAGTCTTTTTCAGAAATGTACGTTTTTGGTGGCAAGAGGGAGAGCCTTTGCTGTTGTGTAATGCTGTTTCCTCTTTCCCCCATTAGTGTTCTTACGTCCTTCTATAATGCTGAGGATGAGTCAAACCTTCTTTTGCCCAAGCTCCCCACGTTGCCAAAAAAGTAAGTAGCAGACTTGTTTCTTTGAAATTAATCTTGAAGATTTTCTTCCTCTGCTTGTAACAATCACTGTTTTCAGACCATTAAAAATGAATCTGAAGAAAAAACTCTGTTTAACAGTTTTTTTACCCTTATCTGTTTTTCTCTAGTTATAGCAACACCTCAAAAATATTTAGGTAAGATATGCCTATTTTGCTTTCAAGTAAAATAATACTTTCTTATCATTAGAAGATATCATCGAAATATGACCTTGTTTATTTTTATATTTTAGTGAAGAAAATTCTGATGAAATTATTAAGCTCTTGGGAGATGTCAGGTAAGTCTTGCTAAGATCTTAAGTCTTATTTCTTTAAGTTGATATTTAATTCTTCAGAAGTTGCAAGAACACGTCTTTCATTTGTTATGCTATTTGATTGCTCTGTCAACAACTCTCAACAATATGCACATGTCAATATTTGTCATTTTTGTTGTAGGGTCATTCATTTTGCCATGTTTTAGTGCAGTGTGTTTTACTAAGGAGAACAGAAGTACACGAGTTTGTAAATTCTAAACTTAATTGAATTATCTGAGTTCTTAAAGCCTCTTTATTATGTTTTACATCACATGATAAAACTGAGCACTTTGTGTTAACTGGAAAAGGATTGTTACTGACTTTATTTAAATATCATTGTTAATCTTATTTTACTGTAATGTTTAAATGTTTCATATATTTATTTTTGGTTTTCTAAGGCAGGTTCTCATTATGTAGTTCAGGCTGACTTTGAACTAACTTACAGTGATCTTCCTGCTTCAGCCTCCCACGTGCTAGGATTATAGGAATGTACCTGGGCTTGAGTTTCTTTAGGCTAAAGGAAATCTATGTTTCTCTTTTGAGATAAAAAGGATAGGCCTGACAAGACTGGGTTTGTGTGGCTTTAGTTCTCTCTGAGAGAACCTCGGCATGTAGATTATGTGTTAGCAGACGTGATTATAGCTTGGTTTAAGTACCTTATCACCTCTGTTGTTGATTGGTCATCAGCTTATTGCATTTTATTAAAAATTTAGGCTTAATATTCTTGTCCTTGGAGGAAGCTCTGGATTTATTGAACTTTATGCTTATGGAATGTTCAAAATTGCTCGAGTCACAGGGGTAAGTTTTTGTTTTAAAATTTTCTATATTGTTTCTCTTAGAATATAGTAGCATATCTATTTGTAGAGTAAAAATAGTTCTTTTTTTCTAGTTTCAGTTCACTCTTAAAATGTTTAGAAGATAATTTTCTTACAAAGATAAAGTAATAGTTGATGCAGCATCTGTAGAAATCAGCGGCTTTGAGTAAAACTAGTCCAGTTCTTTTTAACAAAAAGATCAGTGCAGTCTACTCAATTGTAATGTAGTGTTGCACCCTGACTCTAGAACTTGGGGTTGGCATGTGATGAGGTCACCGGAAACAGTCATAACCCTGCGCTACGTTGCCATGGTTGTGCCTGAGTCTTCTCCAAAGGTTTGCTCCTTACTCGTAGTGTCTGCGGAGGCGTAGGAGATGGCTCAGGCTGTGGGAGCTCCTTCTTTGGCAGCCGCATTGGGCCCTGGGTGGGTGTTTGTGTCCTGTGCTCAAGCAGGGTGTGGGGCGCTCCAGCCCTCACCTGCTGTGCAGGTCCAGGAGGGACCAGGATGTCTGGTAGGGGCTCTAATTTCTGCTTCCTGTGTTTACCAAATGCAGCCTGGCAGTGTTACCAGATTTCCTGAGGTGCATTAACTGTTTTACAGATTGCTGGGACTTGTCTTGCATTATGTTTATCAAGTGATTTGAAGTCATTATCAGTGGTCACAGAGGTGTCTGCCAGTGGTGCTCAAGAAGTTTCATACTTTCAGGTGTGTATTGGAGCCTGATGGCATTAGAGAATCAGCATGGAGTTTGTAGATTTTTTTGTTTTTTTGAGTTTTTTTAGTATAAAACATCAAATCCAAGCTATCTTGTGTGGTATGTTCTCTACCACTGAGATAAACTCCCAGTACCTGCAATTTTTTCATATCTTTATCTCATATGCTGATTGTCATCAAAACAAAACAAATCTGCTTAGAGTTCTAGGTCTTTGTGCTGGAGGTCATTATAGTAAATACTATAGTATTTTCTTCCCACTCCAATACAGTTTTCTTTTTTTTCTTGTGTCTTTTTTTTTTTTTTTCAATTTATTACCCTTTTTTAAAAAAAGCCTTTACTTGAGGGACATTATGGCTATAAATGATATGTCATGACAAGAAGTACATATTTCGAAGACCAGTATGGCAAGCACTCTAAGCGTGACCCCTCTATTACACATTGCCCTCCTCAGTGCAGCTGCCTGGCTCACGGGCACTAGCATATACAGTTAGGGTGAGAGTCTCACCAGCCAACTGCTAGTCTCAAAAACCTACTGATGTACCCCAGGATCACTGCTCCACCCATCTTGTGTGTACAAATGTATGTCTTTGCTCCTGTCATGTTTCCCAGCTTTTCTCAAGTTCTCACTTTCCTTTTATTTGTGTTGTAACTTTCTATATGTAATTCTTCTTTTAAATTCTTATACTAGGGAGACAATATGATATTTACAGATGTGGGTCTGGTTTATTTAACTTATAAGAATATCTTCAAGTGGCACCCACTTAAATGTAAAGGCTTTGAGTGTATCATTCTTTATAGCTGAGTAATACTCCATTACGTAAAAGTACCACATCTTTTTCAACCATTCCACATGTGACAGGCATCTTGGTTGTTTCCAGGATGTGGCTATCACAAATTGTGCTGCTATAAACATAGGTATGCATATATCACTATGATATGATGCTTTTAGTTCCTCTGGGAAAATTCCCAGTAGGGGGATAGCAGGCTTGAATAAGATTTCCAGTCCTAGTTTTTTAAGGAGTCTCCACACAGATTTCCATAATGGTTGCACCAATCTACACTCCCACCAACAGTGGAGAAGGGTTCCCCTTTCCCCACAGCCTCTCCAACATTTGTTGTTGGTTGATTTCTTTATGATAGCCATTCTTGCTGGGGTGAGATGGTATCTCAATGTTGTTTTAATTTGCATTTCACAGATGGCTAGTGACGAGGAGCATTTTTTCATATATTTATTCGCTTCTTTAATTTCATCCTTGGAGAAGTGTGCTCATCTTGCATGCCCATTTCTGGACTGGGTCTTTAAATTTTGCCCTAATGTTCTTTAGTTCTTTATGAATTCTAGAGAGCAGACCTTTGTCTGAATGTTTATTAGTTAAGATTTTTTTGAAGTTAGTGGATTGTCTTTTCACTTTGTTGATAATTTCTTTTGACATGCAAAAACTTCTCAATTCCAATATAGTTTACATAGAAAAGGTTTTAGTGGTATGGTAAAAACCATGCTAATAGGTTATTGTACTAATTTAATTTTGAACCAAGTACAGTACCTTGGTTGTTGGGCTCAGTTCATTCCAAATTTAGGGCTGGGAATATACCTCAGTGGCATAAGGGCCTGTCTGGCAAGCACAAGGTCCTGAGTTCGATTCCCAGTACCCAAAAGCTCAAAAACAGAGAGACATTCCAAATTCATGTGTGAACACCAAAAGGTTTGAGAACTGAGCATATTTTTCACATGAGAAATAATAGAAAACTAAATAATTGGTTTGAATGCCCACAAAATACACTTCTAAACTTGTTTTTTCAGGATTTTAACAATGTTTTGTTTAACTCTGTTGTGGTTCTTAGTTTTCCTCTTAGCTTTACTGTAGCTGATACTTCCTTTGGAGCTATGATTATGATATTTTATATAAAAACTTAGTGCAAGTGTTTTAACAAACTGTATTTTATGTGCGTGAGAGCAGCGTCTAGATTGAAGTGTCGCCCCTTTGTGTCCACATCGAGATGCAGTGCAGAAGTCACTCTCAGCCTGTACAGGGAGGGTGGTTTTGTTTTGTTTTGTTTTGTGACAGGCAGCCACTGTATATCCCAGGCTGGCTTCATACAGTGAGCCTCCTGCCTCAGCCTCCTGAGTGCAGAGATTATAGGCCTGTCCCACCACAGCTACGCCCTGTACAGGCTTCTTCAAGTCAGATTTTCTATTCAACTATAGGGCAAAATTAGGAATACTGAGCAGATACTTTTCCTTTTATTTTTCTGTTCAAGGAGTGGAAAGTATGAACTTGAAGCCCTTCAGTGACTGAGGTATCACTGTACTGTATTTTCTTAGAGTTGTCCCTAATAGTATTAAAGACTAATATTTATTGGTCACTTAAATATGCCAGGTGCTGAGTGCATTAAACTTGGTGTGGAGCTCTGTGATCCTCGCTTTTGTGGGTGTGTCCTCTGGTACACACTGGACTGCAGGGCCTGCTCCACATCACAGTGTCCTGAGTGCTGCTTGTGTAAAAGGACCACTTAATACTGAGAATTATTCTTATGATGCTATTTATTTTATAGATGGAGGCAACTGACGGGCTTCCATAGAGTGTTCACATTTTAGCTTTGTCTTGCCAAGAAATCATCCCAGAGTTTTCATTTTAAATATACCAGCCATATGCCTGAGTTCCTAAGAAATCTCAAATAAAAGCAGAATGAAAAACTGATGGCTTCTGGCTGTCTCAGTGCTGCGCCCTTGAGTCACCATTCTCTAATGTGCTGTTTCATACTTGCTGCTCCTCTGAAGGTTCAGAAACTGTGATTGCTAGGTTGGCATGAGGGCTGAATACAGTGATTCCCTTTTTCTATGAAGTTTGCAGTAGATTTTTTTTTGGTGGAACAGGGGATTGAATTCAGACTCTTGCACTTAACAGGGAAGCGCTTATTCTACTGAGCCATCTCCCCAGCCCTACAGTAGATATTTTTAATGACAACTGCAGGAAGATGTAACGTATATCACATTGATAGGTATTTTCCTGGTATTTATCAGTAGCCTTCAATTCCTTCTACTTCCATTCAAATTTTAAAAGTATTAGTGGTCTTTATTAATTTTCTCATATTAATGTTACTAAATAGGTCATTACATTTGTAGCTGTGTCACAGGGATTGAGAACAAGAGAAAGGGTGCAGTCCCACGCAGGTTAGGAAGTCCCGAGTTTACGCTCTTCGCACCAGACTGCACCTATGGGCAGGGCTGTGACACGGGCATTCTGATAACTGCTAGATCTAGATTTTCTCTAAATTACAGGTTTTGGTTTTGAGCTGGGCAGAAACGATTTGTCTTTAAAATAAGCCAGTGAATCTGACTGTGACTCACTCTTCTTATTTTACAGCTTGAAACTAATCTTTTATATTCCTTCTTGCCTGAAGTAACTCGGATGGCTAGAAAGTTTACTCACATTTCAGCTCTTTTGCAGGTTTGTATTTCTGGCTTGCTATATGTATTTACTAAAAGTTTCATAAGGAAAAACTTAAATTTTATTTTGTAAAGCTTTCTGGAGTAAAGGTGATAGTCTGTGTTTGGTCTAATCTTAGAGTATTAACTAAAGCAAAAAAAAGAAAATTTAATTGAGAACCTAATTCCACTCATCCCTATTTACCACCTCTGAAAGAAAAACTAGGTGTCTTTACATGATCACTTAAATGAAGTTCCACTTACACTTTATTGAAATAAAACATGGTGCAAATAGTCTTCCCACGAGCTGGCATTTGTTCCTGGTACGCACGCCCCAGACCGGCTCCCTTCCCAGCAGTTCAGCTGTGGGGTCTGCACTCACAGGTGCTGGCCTTCACAGCGGTGCTCCTGCTGTGAGAACAGGATGTGAGTGGACCAGAGGTAGGGCCTTACCCGTGGACTCTGCCCCTGGAGGAGCTGCAGAGAGCTCTGGATGTCTTATTCTATCACAGTCTTTAATTTCTTAATGTCAAAGGTTTCTGGAGATCAGTATCATTTTTATTTACATTTTTGGTACTAGGGATTGAATTTGGGGCCTTTACTTTGAACTACGTCTCCACTGCTTTTTAATTTTCTTTTAATTTTTGAGACAAGCTCTTTCTGAGTCACTTAGGCTGGGTTGGGCCTTTACTTGTGATCTTCACTGTCCTACCCTCCCAGAGTGCTGGGATTGTAGGGGTGTACTACCATGCCTGGCTGAGATCAGTATCTTTTTAGTGCTGTTTGAATAGCTGAACAAACTAGCATTTTCACAGTTACACACATCAGATGTATCTTACGTAAAAAATGAGCTGGGTATGGTGGCACAGACCTGTAATTCCAGTACTCAGGAGGCTGAGGGAGCAGGATCTCTGGGAGTTGAAGGCCACCCTGGGCTGCATAGTGAGTTGGAGGCCAGCCTGCACTACATAGTAAGAGCCTGTCTCAAAAACAAATAAAAAGCAACAAAAAATATCTTTTTTAATTTATTCAGTACAGGGTCTTACTACACAGATCAGACTCGTAGTGATCCTCCTATTCTCAGCCTCCCAAGTGCTGGGATTACAGGGGCAAACCCCCCTCCCCCAGGCTCAATCACTGTTTCAATGTACCTGGGGTTGGGGCTGACATGGCAGGCCAGGGATTGAATCCCTGGCCCCTGCATCTGCCAAAGCAGGTGCTTTAATCCACTAAACTATCTGGCCAGCCCAACAAAAACATTTTTTTTTTTTTTTTTTTTTTGCGGAACCAGGGATTGAACTCAGGTCCTTGCGCTTGCCAGGAAAGCGTTTATTCCACTGAGCCATCTCCCTGGCCCCCCAAAAATATCTTGAAGATATTTGTTTTATGAGATACAAGCTTAAACTTTTTTTTTTGGTGCTAGGGATTAAACCTAACACTTTATGCATACTAGGCATCCCTCCACCATTGAGCTATATTCTAAACCCTATAATCATGTTTTATTGTAAAATTCTAAGAAAAATTGAATGTTGTATTTGGTTAGGTGATTTTATTATAAAAAGTCAGTGCACTTTTCTCTTTTCCTTGAACTTAAGAGATTAAAAGTAAATTCTGGATTTCTTTGTGATTCTTGTTCATAAGCATTTAGTTGGCATATTGGTTTAAATATTTGTTACCTTTTTTTGCTAATAGTATATAAATTTATCACTGACATGCATGTGTGAAGCGTGGGAGGAAATACTGATGCAGATGGATTCCCGTCTGACCAAGTTTGTGCAGGTAACGTAGCTGAAGTTTCTCATGGAGGGAGTTTAGAAGTATATAATCTGGTATTTACTTTTTTGGGTACAAGAGAAAAGACAGCCTGATTTGTATGTAAAAGGCTAAGATTGTTACTTCTTTCAGATGGTTTGGTCTAACCTCATAATATTATCTCAGAGAGATTTGCAGAACAGTATCTGTGTTAGTTTTCCATTGCTGTAGCAAAGCACCTGAGTTGGATAGAACATGTAAAGAAAAGAGGGTTGTTCAGCTCTCAGTTCTGATGGCTGGAAGTCCAAGACCAGGCAGCCCCACATGTTCTTCTGGTGAGGAGGGCCCCGGGCAGGGGAGCTTGTAGGTCTCCTGGTGGGGCAGGCAGGCAGAGGTGGAGAGGAGTCAGCTCTGCTCTTTTATAGCAGCCTCCCCTGGTATACCAGAAAGATGTATACCTATAATCTTGAATAAAAATACTTGCAGTTTATAACATGTGGATGTGATTCTCGCTCTCCATTTTGCCTAGGAGAAGAACACGACCACATCAGTGCAGGATGAATTCATGCATCTGCTGCTATGGGGCAAAGCAAGGTACTGTGCTCGGTTGGGCCTTGCTTGGCTGCTCCCTCTTCTGCTGCTTTTTTTTATAGCACTTATTTTAAGAGTAGTTGGAGTCACTGGAAAAATAAAGCAGAAAGTTCTAGTGCTTAAGAACCAAAAAATCAAAAAGGTATGTATCTTTCTGGGCTTCCTATGCGCATTTTTAATGTAAATGTGATCATTTTGTGTGTATGTGTTTTATGAAATGTCTAAAAGTTTTGAGATTTTTATGTCACTAATCTTTTCCTTTCTGGAATCTTAAAAAAACCTGTTAGATTTTGAGAGTATTAAAAGATTGGCGTGGCTTTTCTTCGAGGCTTTCCTGTGGTTTACTTTTTACAGCTGTCCATGTTATACATGTGATTACTTGGCTGTGTACTCTGGCAGGTTCGCTCCTTTTTCCCTAAATGACTGAAGCACAGTCAGCATGACTGGCCAGGGGCCGTGTGAGCCTACAACACGTCCTTGTGTGTTCTTCAGTCTGGTTCTGGCTTTTATTTCCTATTTGCTGTTCCTTGATGAGTACAACAAAGTCCTCATTTCTTTCTTTCTTTCTTTCTTTCTTTCTTTCTTTCTTTCTTTCTTTCTTTCTTTCTTTCTTTCGGAGACAGGGTCTTCATATGTAGTTCAGGCTGATGTTGAACTCACTTTGTAGCCCAGACTGGCCTCAAACTCACAGAGATCTTCCTGCCTCCGCCCCCCAAATGCAGGGATTACAGCACGCACCACCATACCTGCCCAGTCCTCATTTCTTTTTATTTTTATTTATGTATTTACTTATTTTTTTGCCAGTTGGCGGGGCTGGCATGGCCTGTGGTGCTGGGGATTGAACCGCTGTACTTGCAGTTGCCTAAGCTTGCCTAAACAGGTGCTTTAGACCACTAAGCTATCTCATTGGCCTTTTTATTTTGTTTCAAATTTTTCTCTGTGCTTTGAAAATTAAGTTTTAAGTGATCCACTGAAGTTTGAATGGAGACATGACTAAAAATGGGCTTTTTTATTGCAGTGCTGAGCTCCAGACGCTATTGATGAACCAGTTAACAGTGAAGGTGCTGTGAAAGTATCTGCCTTTATGAGTACATTCTTATTTCTTTTTTTTTTGAGTGGCATGTATCTTAGTCATATTCTTTTCTTCAATTAGGGCTTGAAAAAGCTCGGCCAGTCCATAGAGTCGTCGTATTCCAGCATCCAGAAGTTGGTCATAAGTCACTTACAGAGGTATGGAGGTCATGCATATGTTTTTGGTGCTGCATCCACGCCTAGGTAGCTTGTTCTGTAGGCAACTTCTGCATGGTCTGCTGTTTTCTTTCTGAGTCTTCTTGATATAAAATTGTTGCATTAGCATTTGAGAGAAGTGTTAAGCGAGGGTAGACCCTGTCGGGGCCTTTTTCATTCCTAACCATAATGTGTTTTGTGAAACAGGGCATATGCACTTTTCTGATTGGTGAAATAGAGTACATTGGTATGTAAATTACAGCTTCCAATGCATATTATATATTTCTTCATGCCGCACTTTGGCAGTTTGTTCTTATTATTTTATCTGAGGCGAATCCAAGGTTCTGTTTCAGTTACTTGACTGGCTCAGACTTAGAAATGTCAGAGCTGAGACTCAGTGCGATCTTCCAAGTCTGTGTTGTCTCAGGCTGCAGCTGCCTTTGAGAGGCAGTTTGAGGCAAATGCTGGTGTTAGGTTGACGCTGCGCTGCATGCTGAGGACCCAGCCCAACCCTTTGGGACCTGCGGCACCTTTTGTACCACTTGGCCTGGGTCACACTTTGCTTTGGAGTGGCTTTTCTTCAGCAAAATTGCCCACATGACTGTCAGAGTGCCAGTGCTGCCTTCCCTTTGCTCTTGGGACCACAACCTTGCTGTGACCGATACAGTTTGCCCACATCAGTGGCCTTTAGTTTTCTAAGCATGACATCTTGTCTCCCAGTCGTGGCTTTTGTACAGCTTCTTGCTTTCCAAAAGGCTGCCACCCTCTGTTCCTTTGTACTCTTTAGCTCAATGAACTGCAGTTTCCTGATGGCTCACATTAGATTTTCTGTTGCCCCTCACCAGGGCATTCCCTTCTAGGCATTCATGGTTGGGACAGTAGACGCTATGACCATGTAGTTGTGGTCCATCTACCCTGTTAAACTTTCAGTGCCATGAGACTTTCACACTCTGTCCCTAGCATGTAGCACAGCCCCTGATGTAAAGCCAGCACTCAAAACATGTTGAATATGTAGTTGTTGGGTGAGTAAGGTAGCCATGTGGTTATCGTGAAAGTGCCAGGACTGAAATTCAAGAGTTGGAGCTCACTGGGGAGCATGCACAGGTGCTGAGGCTCCCATGGACCCTAATCTGATCATCTTGCAAAATTTAATGTTTTTGAGACTGGGTCTTGCTATATAGCCCAAGCTGGCCTTGAACTTGTGGCGATCCTCCTGCCTCAGCCTCCCAAGTGCAGAGATGACAGGCATGTGCCACCATGCCTGGCCTAATCTGTATATTCTGATGACCAGATGATTCTACACTTTCTAGAAATAATTTTGATAAATTATTGTTTCTTTGATAATTATTATTTCTTGTAGAAAGAAAATTAAAGTTGCTTTCAGTTTTTATTTATAGATCTGTTAGGGAGTCACTGCACATCAACTTGAGGATAGTAATTGATGCCTTTTTGTGCTGTTTTGAAGCGGCTCAGAATCCTTGTTATACCACTTGAGTGAACTGAAAGGGATGGCTTCGTGGAAGCAGAAATACCAACCTCTTGGACTGGATGCTGCGGGAATTGAAGGTAGCAATTTAATTTCTCAGTAGAGCATGTTAGGCACACTTTACTTACTTAACAAGTTACTTATTTATTCATTTATTTCCCTTTAGATGCTATTACTGCTGTGGGTTCTTTCATACTCAAAGCAAATGAACTTCTTCAGTAAGTAATGGACTTACAATCGTGGGTCTGAGACTATTTCACTTTTTACCTAAAAAAGGACCCAGAAAATTGTCTTGATTTTCTTACAATGAATGAATTTTTATCAAAATTACACCTGCATGTGGAGAGCAAGCCAATAGCATGGAGATCTAACAAAGTGAAACTGTATTTTCCTGTCCCAGCCAAGATGTTCTTGTCTTCCAGAGGGAATTGTAAGTCCTATCACTCTTGCAGCTCATAGGTTACGTGTGCATTTCTGAGCCATGACTGTATTCCATTTCCTATATTTATGAACTTTAGAAGTTGCTCTTTGATCCTCCAGAACTCTGTGGAGCTCTCCTGTTTTCTCGTGTCTGCTGTCTAGCCGAGGGGCAGGGGTTCCCAAGTCCCCTCAGACTCGATGGCTCCCACAGCCTGTGCCCCAGGTCTCACGTGGCTCCCCGCTCTAGCCCGGCTCCACAGCTTTCGCTGTGGTCAGGCCTTCCAGGACCACATCTGCCACTTTCCCTCAGTAATTACTCGAGTGTCCTTGAGTAGCTTCAGAAGGAGGATGTGGAAGTAGAAATCAGCTCTGTTTCCTCTCTGGTCTTCATTTGGAGGTGTTGGCTGGGCTTAGGGTTCTGAGGGAAGTGGTCTTCTCATAACTTGAAAAGCGGCACTCTGGGACATCCTGGGCTTCCATGGATGTCTGTGCTCTGGATTCTTCTTCCTGTGAAGGGCTTTTTTCTCTCATTCTAAAAGCTTTAGTCTTCTTCCTTGCAATGAAATTTCACAACAGCCATTTTATTTTATTTTTTAATAAAAAAAATTGTATTTACTTAAGCATTCAGAATGTCACAAAACAGTTGCAACTTTTTTTTTTTTTTTTGCAATTACAGAGTGGTATTCAGTTAACAGAACAACAATTATTTCATATAAGGTGCATCAAAGACAACTGAAGATGAAAAACTACCGTCCCCAAATATAACTAATTTGTGCTGTGCACCAAGAAGAACCTGCTTTAAATTTCCATGCCAGTTTACAACCCCCATACTGTACCACACACCAGCCGTTTTAGGTGTAGGTCTTTTCATTTATTGTGCTGATAAAAAAAAGATGTTTTAGCTTGCATACTGTTTTATTATTTTGACAATTTCTTTTTGTGTGTGTGTGTGTTTGTTTTTTTTTTTTTTTTGTATTTTTAGGGAAGGGTTTACAGGGAGTTCAGGGTCTCACTACTAGATTGGACTAATAGTGATCTGCCTGTTTAGAGCCTCCCAAGAGCAGGGATTACAGGCGTGTGCCACCACACCCAGTCTCAATTGCTGTCTCAGGGTGCCCCGAGGGCAGGGCCAGCATGGCAGGCCTGGGGATCGAACCCCTAGTCCCTGCACCTGCTTGTAGGTGCTTTAATCCACTGAGCTATTTGGCTGGCCCTTCTTTTTGTCTTTTTAACTGCATTTTTGTTCTAGGAATCTATTTGGTCAGATACTAGGCTTCATGAATTGATCCTCTATGTTTGTAATTTTTCCCCTATCTTTCAAACTTTGGTTCTCTGAAAACATTTTTTGACTTAATTATCCAGCATTGCCATTCACTAATAGGCATTTATTCAGCACTTCACTATGTTTTAAGTGAGGTTTGGACATGGAAATATAGTAGTGAACAAAACTAAAACTCTGCCCTCAAAGGTCTTGTTTTGTTTTTTGTTTTTTTGTATGTGGTACAGTCGCACTACGCAGCTTGGCCTCTTAGTGATCCTCCTGTTTTCAGCCACCCCAGTGCTGGAATTATAGGCATGTGTCACCACACTCCACCTCAGTGGTCATCTCAGTGCACCTGGGGGTGGGGCTGGCACTAGCATGCCATGTAGTGCTAGGGATTGAACCCTAGTCTCTGCACTTGCCAAAGCAGGTGTTTAGTCTACGGAATCCAAGATCTTGTGTTCTAATGTAGTGAGACAGGAAGCAAATGCATAATTAAAATATTTAAGGTGTTAAAAATATGGTAGATTTTTTAATTAAAAATATTTCTTAAAGTAAAAAACACATTGCCACTAATCCCCCTGAAAATCGTCTCCCTCATTCAAACACACTTTTCCCGTTCTTCTTGGTACTTCTGGAAGCAGTGCTGAAAGTCCTCTTTTTCGTCTTTAGTTGTGTTCTTGTGGCTGCCTCGATGTTCTGAGTTACTCAGAATGTTGACCTTTCATGGTCATTGAGGAACAGCCAGAGGTTGTAATGTGCAGATCCCCTGAATAATGTGGGTGGGGACACACCGATGTTTTTACAAATCAGCCTTACCACTGGATGGCATTGACAAGAACATTCATGGTGGTTTTGATCACATCTGGTGAAGACATCAGAGTGAACGGACATGGCTGCTTCCAGAAATGTGCAGAATGATGACATGAGGGTGTGTGAAGCAGGGGAGATATTGTGCAAGGGAGTAACAGCAGTGTGTCTTGTAGTGTAACAAGTTTTTAAGATGTAAACATTCACTATATGTTTTGCTCACACTTTGCTTAAGAGAATAACAAGTAGTGAGTAAAATCAAGCATGGAAGGAGGAGTTAGGCTTGTGGCACACGAGTGACAGGAGATGCAGTTTTGTATGAAGTAATCCTTCATTACACAGATTCTACCTTCAACCTTAGGTCATCGGTGTTAGGAAGAAAGTTTACGTCTGTGTTGATACACAGGTGTTTTTTCTTGTCATTGTCCCTAAACAATACCATGTAACAGCTATTCGTATCCTATTTACATTGTAAGTAACCTAGACGTGGAGGATACGTACAGGTGATATACAGAAGTCACGCTGTTTCATGTCAGGGCCTCGAGCTTCCTTGGGTTTTGGTGGCCTGTAGTGGAGGAGGAGTCCTGGAAGCGGTGGTTACTGATGGAGGACTCCTGAAGAGGGTGAACTTGTAGACAGGAAGGAAGCCAGCCCTGGGCACACTTGGCAGCAGCAGGGCTGGCAGGGAAGGACTGGCTGAGGCAGGCCGTGACATTGGGCGGTATACCTAGGGCTGTGCAGGTGGGAGGGCCTGGGCTTTTACTGTGGGAGCAGTTGGAGCCCCATGGGGAGGTACGAGATGTAAAACAAGGTTAAGGCATAACATTTGTTTTTATTAGTACTTCTTGTGATAATGAATACATTTATCTTGAGTTGGTGCATGAACATACCACTTCTTAATCCTTTTTAACCTCCCCCTCTCCCTCACTAAGACTTAGGTTTTAAAAAGATGCCTCTTAATATTGAGAATTAGTTATAAGCAGGCAAGGACAGAAGCTAAGAGAGAACTGGTGGTCGAAAACTGGGTACATTTCAGAAGTATAACAAGATTTACTAAATGCTCATATGGAGATGTTAGTGTATGTATTCTAAGAGTTAAGTTTATTTTCTTACCTAAATATAGTATAGTTAACAAGTTCGGATTTTAAACATTGACTCAGTATGTTAATCTATAGGTCAGTCTGAAGTTTGCAAGTAGCCTAGTAATGCCCAGTGTGCAGTAGGGTGCCAGGAGGGCTCTCAGGAGTTAGTTGCTGTTTCTCTTTACCTTTGAAGCTTCTCAGCCTCCCTTGGTCTTTCCTGACCTTCCCTGGCTGCCCACGCTGTGTTCCGCCAGGCATGTGGCCTCTGCCATTGAGTTTCATCGATCATTGGGCATTGGCATTTATGACATTTGCAGTTCTTTTCTACTGTTCGGTATTGTGAGTTTATACATTGTAATGCATATGTCCTTGCCCATCCTGCACCCCTTTAATGGCATTGTAGAAGGTACAGAACCTGGTACTCAGAAGACAAAAAGAGGGGAAATGACAGTGCTTTTTCTGTGTTTTGAAGTGGTTTCTTGGTTTTTGTTTTTTGGGTTTTTTTGCTTTACCACATTTGCTGAGAGCAAAGCTAAATACTAAGCTTTCTGTGATCACCTTTCATTGTGAATGAAAGGCAGTTAATATCTTGCTCCTTTCAAGAAAATAAAAGATAGCATTGTTTTTATTCTGTGTTACAAAAGGAAAAGCTGAGGCATTAACTTCTGATGCAAGCCTGGTTGCTTGAGATGAGGTGGGGGATTGAAAAAGACACAAAAGGACTGGGTTTTTTTCCATTGTTTCTACAAAAGACTTTTGGTAGTGATGCCTGGTGACATTGGAGATGTGATAGTCTTTAATTTCAAGTGTCTTACTTTATACAGAAAGGTTAATGAGACTGACCTACCTCACTGGTGGTGTTGTGAATCGTAATACTCTTGGAGGGTTATTGAGAAACGGGGATGAAACATGCAATTATTATGTAGTTAGAGTCATTATCTCATAGGTATGGCTTTAAGGAATTTTTTTGAAAATTCCATCTTTGTATTTTTATCAAAATCAAGATGACTTCCATTTATGATACTGTACTTAATTGGAGGCACATGTGTAAAGCCCATGAAAATTAATTTCTGAGGCCCCGGTTACTGTCAGAGTGCAAAAATCACGTTCAGAAAATGGTGTTCAGGGCTGGAGAGATGGCTCAGTGGTCTAAAGCACCTACTTGGAACAAGCTTGGCAAAGCACAGGGACGGTGGTTCAATCCCCCAGCACCACATGCCAGCCAGCCGCGCCCCCTGGTGGGCTGAGCTGGCCACACACACAGACACACACACACACACACACACACACACGCACACACACACACACACACAAAATAAATGTTAAATAAATAATTAAAAAAAAAGAAAATGGTGTTCATTGATATGAGAGGTAGAACAAATTTTTAATGTTGGTTCTTTTTCTTGCTTGAGTTGATGTTTTCTTCTTTCAATGTATTTGGTTGTTGCAGGGTCTCACTATGCAGCTTGGACTTATAGTGATACTCCTACTTTCAGCCTCCCTAGCACTAGGATTATAGGCATGTGCCACTACACAGACTCTGGCCAGCTCAGCCCATCCAGGGGTCAGGGCTGGCGTGGCATGTGGTGCTGGGGATTGAACTGTGGTCCCTGTGCTAGCCTAAGCTTGCCTAAGCAGACACTTTAGTCCTCTGAGCTATCTCGCTGGCCTGATGTTTTTCTTAATATAATACTGACCAACAAATAATCTTTTTAAGCAAAGAATAATGCTGCAAACTTTTTTCCTGATTTATTTCAGGTCAGAAAAAGATTTCATAGTTTACTGAATGTGGGGAAAAAGTATACATAGCCAGTTAAAATCTTGCGTTACTTAGCTTTATTTTTTTTAAAGAATCAGGATTTGCTTTTTTTGAATTATATTTTTATGGATGTGTTAGATTTGTAACATGTACTGTTCCAAGGGCTTAAAGGTCATCCAGACAGGGTATAGTAGAACAGGATTATTACATTCCATGATAATTGACAGCTATATATGAATGCAACGTAACTCTGATTTCTTTTTATAGGGTTATAGATAGCAGTATGAAAAACTTCAAAGCATTTTTTAGGTGGCTGTATGTGGGTAAGTTAATTGAATGAAGCATTTTTGCCATCTTAACACTTTAAAAAAAATTTATGCAAGTATTTTCAGTCACCTTAATAAAATGGAATAACATTTAAAATTAGTAGTGTAGTGTAGTGCGCCCCCTGCCTGCTTCACCCGGCCTCAGTGGTTAAAGCATCTGGCCAGTGTGACGTCTGCGTACCACCCACTCGTGGCTCCCTGGGAATGCTAATGCCTTCCCTTTTTAGTGTCAGTCCTGAAAATAATATTTTTGAATCCTTTCTGTAATTGGGCACCTTGAATATCTTCATTTATGCCACAGTCTGACTGTCTCTGGATCTCTGCAGTTGTAGTACCAGCCAGTGGCTGAAAGAGTACAGATTCAGCCCCTTGGTCAGTCTGGTCAGTGGCAGCGCAGCGTTGGCGCATTTTCCTCAGTACTTCTGCTGGGCGGTGACCCCCTAGCTTCACAGCGTGCAGACCACCTGTGGTCTGTTTCCACATCTCCACAGTGTCTTGGAGGTTGAGGAGGCAGTTTAATTGACAGATACCCATTGGCTTGATAATAAATATTTTCGTAGAGACTCTGCCAAAACATAGTTGTAAATGGAATTTATAAAAATTCTAAAAGAGTGAAAAAGTAAATTGCCTCGTATGTGCTGCTACCTCCTTTAAGTAAATGTCTAGGTCTTTAGTTCTAATACGATAAAGGCACACTTGATATTCGTCACCCTAGTATAGTTACTACCATTTAAAAATTCAATGTGATCTGACATTTACACTTGAACTTCTTGATTTTTTCTCACTCTGCCAATGTTAGTCAGAATGGGCAACTGGAGTGTTTATCAGATCAGCCTGGTCTGAGTTGTTAACTGAAATAAATTGCAGTATTAAAACTGAATGAAAGCTTAGAAATCTTTGTTAGGTGAAAGTTGTAGTTGGATTGTGATTGTACTTATATTATCATAGATAATTTAGGCCATTTGTGTATTGTTCACCCTAACTAGTAAGGACCAAGGTTACACAAGAAATGAGTCACTGCTCAGTCCTGAGAACATGATACTGTACAAGGCACGTGGCTTGGACAACAGGAGACCTAACTTTAATCGTGGCTCTGCTAGCAGCAGTGGCTGACTGACATCGGTTGTCTTCTCTGTGAGATGCAGTCTTCCTAAAGGTGGGGGCTTCTGTTAAGCTCCCCCTAGTACTGGTAGTGTAATCAATCAGTAGTTTTTTTGACTGGATAAAGAGACGAATTGTGGGATTATGTTATAGCCTATTTTTTTCAGATAATTTAGAAATTTGAATTAATTAAATGGCTTCTAAAGTAATCTGTATTTGTGGAGGTATTTTTTTTTTTTTTTTGGCGGAACCGGGGATTGAACTCAGGCCCTTGTGCTTGCCAGGCAAGCGCTTATTCTACTGAGCTAACTCCCCGGCCCCTGTGGAGGTACTTCTGACACACTTGGTACTGAGCACACAGTTGAGAAGCATATTCTGCCACTGAGCAGAAGCACATGCAGTGTTCTTAGTCTTGACTTTGGCTGACATGCAAAATACATGCTGCTGGTAAAGAACAACCCCATGACAGGACAAGAAGAGCCAGTGCTAAGGAAAAGCATAAAAATATGTGGACACATAACTGTGTATATGCACTCAGAAATCTTAGTGCAGATGGTTTTGTGTAGCAAAAAAGGCCAAGGGAAATGCACATTTCTTTGGCATTGTATACCCTTGAAGGAAAGAGTTGTCTGCAGATTTTGAGAGAAGAAACACTACCAGGTTAGGAGGAGGCCCATGCAGGTGTTGCACTAGTACAAGACTGCAGTTAAATTTATTAGTGTGAAGTGGCAACACATTGAGTTGAAGAAAAAAAAAAATAACAGTTTATAATATTTAGAGCAGTACTGTACATTTGATCTGCAACATATTTAGAACTAAGTTCTTTACCCTTTAGTTTTTAGAAGTAATAGAGTTGTTTGTTTTTGCTGTAAAGAAATACTCAAAATGCAATGGTTAGTCTTTGAAATTTTAATTTTCCTTTAAAAACAATTTTTAACTTTGTATTTCCAGCAATGTTGAGAATGACAGAAGACCATGTGCTCCCCGAGCTGAATAAGGTAGCGTATGGGAGCAGGGCTGGCGCTGCACGGCCGCGGTCAGAGATGCTCTGAACAATCATACCTGTAGCCAGCGTGCACACACCTTTTTCTTGTCCTTATCCCCTAAATGACCTATGTAGCAGCCATTTGCATAGCAGTTACACTGTATAGCACTAAGCATACAAGGAAGGTAGCAGTGATTGCCCTGCCTGGGAGGGTGTCTGTGCGCTGTCCGCAGACGTGCCTTCCTGCATCAGGGACCTGCAGATCTCAGTGTGGGGCAGCTGTGGACCCACCTTTGCTTGATGCCAAGGGATACTGCATATTTTTCTAATCTGTTGTTTTCCTGACTGAGCTCAGTTTTGCTGGTCCTCTTGGTAGGATATTCTGATGTAGTTAGTAAATAACAGGATAGCAGGCTTATACACAGACACATCCCTTCAGTCTTATTTTTTAGAAATTTGCGTGTTTTGTGTTTTTTCAGTTCTCAATCCATGTTATAGCTGTGTAAAGTTATGCTTTTCATGTTTATATAAGGTTCTGTAATGTATATAACATAGTCTCTTTATATTCATTACTGTAACCTCCTTAAACATTAAATAGGTTTTTATTTTACTTGAAAATCAAGCACTTACATCAGTCGCTAAGCTGAGATCTGGTGAGAAGTTTCGTCCTACCTGTAAAGACGTGCTGGGGGCCTCATGTTTCCCGGGGGCATCTTGCAGACAGAGCAGAGCTCCTGCAGACCCTGCAGCACGCAGTCCCAGCCCGTGCATAGCTGTGCAGGTAGGTAGGTAGTTTTATTGGGGAACTTTTTTTCAACTTGATTTTTTTTGTCTTTCTGTTGCTGATAGATGACTCAAAAGGATATTACATTTGTTGCTGAATTCCTTACTGAGCATTTCAATGAGGTAAGAATTACATTTCTATGAGTTGGTTTTTTTTTTTTTTTTGATAACTTTAATATACCTAGGTGATGGAAACAAATAGTTAAATTTAATCCAGTTGAAATTTTTATGAATTCCTTTTTAAAAGACTATTGAAGTGGTTACTTATTTACTGAACATAAAGTCTGTCAAATGCGGTGTGTGTGTGTGTGTGTGTGTGTGTGTGTGTCTTACAATCTGTAAAAGAAAAAAGCTGCAACTAGTAGCTCTCCTACAAAATACATTTTGTGGTTTAAATTTAAGATCTTTTTAAGGAGGATGTAGTGGCACATGCCTGTAATCCCAGCATTCAGGAGGCTGAGACAGGAGGATCTTCACAAGTTCATGACCAGCCTGGGCTACAAAGTGAGCTTAAGGCTGGCCTGAACTGCATGGTGAGATCCTTTTTTTTTTTTTTTTTTAAGAGATCCTGTCTTAAGGCAGAACAAAAACACTTTTTTTCTTTTGACATGACTTTATAATTTAACTATCTCTGTTCTTTCTAGGCTCCAGACCTTTATAATCGAAAAGGAAAATACTTTAATGTTGAAAAAGTTGGTCAGGTATGATCATGGGCTGAACTTAGTTTGATTCTATGTTCTAATTATAAAATTGTAGCATAATATGAATTATCCAAAGTTTATGGAAAAGAATACAATTTTGTTATAATGTAGTCCTTCCCTTTTAGTAAAATAAAAGAGGAACAGTTACTGATCCCTTTCACATTCTTTTCCTTTCGTACTGGGGACTGGACCAAGGCCCTTGTCCTTACTAGGCGGTCGCTCTGCCACTGAGCTCCAGTCCCAGACCCACTTCCCACCTTTCCTTTCCTTTTACTTTTGCATTCTTACTAATTATTGAGGACTACAATGCGGTTTTGTTTGTTACATGGATTGTCATGTATTGATGGTAGATATTATGAGATACTAAAAATTATACGGAATAAACTACTTATTTCTTAATTCATTAAAAACAACAGCTCTACTTATTCTAATATAAATACTTTAGTGAAAAATAGCTTAAAAATTAGTGAGATGGCTTATTTTTTGCAAATCTCTTTGATCTTCAGCTTACTAGAAGACAGCTAGAGTCTCCTATCCCCTTCCTGTTGTCTGTTTTGGTATGCATGTTTGGTTCTGACTATAAGGAAACCTGGCCTCACCCAGATACGTCAGTGAAAAGAGGAGGACTGTAATAGATATTTTAGCACTGAGGATATTCTTTGATTTTTTTTGTGGAACCAGGGATTGAACTCAGGCCCTTGCACTTGCCAGGGAAGCGCTTAATTCCACTGAGCCCTCTACCTGGCCCCGAGAATATTCTTTGATACTACTCCAAATCCCTACAAGTGATAGTGTCTCAGAGGATAATTTCATTGTAGAATCTGAAATTATATCAGTGAGCTTTCCTTACTCTTACTCTGTTAGGTTACAGTCTGTTCGTGTTCCTTGCACTTTGCAGGAATCTATTATCCTGGTCCATGAGTACGTAGCTCTTCAAGTACTGACACCTGTCATACAGTATCCAGAAGTCAGATTTCATTAACGTCAGCATCTGCTGAATCAAAAAAGTCTTTCATTGCTGTGAAGCTGTCAAATAGTGGCAGATGTAGAGTTCATGCTTTTAATTTTTGCTTAAAAGTTTAAATTTTATCTTTGGCAACAGATACTGTCAGTTGTTTTGCTCAGAGTGACTGGCTTACTATATTTATTTTCCAAAAAAGTATCTGCCAAATATACCCAAGCATGAATTAATCATAGTTTGTTCCTATTTTTTCAAGTAAAAAAATGGAACTCCATTTTTAAAGTGTCTGATTTAACTTACAGTTGTAACTATTTTCTAAGTGCCTTAAGATAACTTTTATACTTTGGCATGTAGCAAAAGTGTCTTAATACCTCCTAATTCTCACCCACAGAATATTGTTTTATACTTAAGAGCTGAAAATTAATAAAATTAATAACTTAGTAGCTTTCAGCTGGGCATGGTGGTACATGTCTGTAATCCTAACATTTGGGAGGCTGCTGCAGGAAGAGTACCATGAGCTCAAGGGCCATAGCCTACGTAGCTATGGGCTGCAGAGAGAGTTCAAGGCAAGAGTGCAGTGACTGCCAGTGTCATTTGGGGCCAGTGCCTCAGATGCTTGTTGAGAGCACTAGCTTCCCCTCTGTTAGCACAGTGGGAGCACAAGTGACATTTTAGCATGACTGTAAGGCTTAACATGAACCCTGAGAGCATCTGGGGACCCCCAGCAGTCTGAAAGCAGCTACCACAGAAGTGCTTGACAGGCAGCACTTGCAAAACTCACCCATAAATTATGTGTGTAGCTTTAGGTGGGTGGGGTGGTGCCAAACTGGCCCCAGCACTCAGGTGGGCCCACGGAGGTGGGAGGACTGCACGTTCCACACCAGCCTTGGCAGCGTAGCACCTTAGTGAGACCCTGCCATAAAATGAGAAAAGACGGGGCTGGGATGTAGCTTGGTGTGGAAGGTGTGAACGCAGTAGGCTGGATCCCCAGGGTCCACTCCCCTTCTCCAAAAATATTGAAATATGCATAAGAAAGCGAGCCAGACTGAAACTTTCTGTATGGTGTCTGCATCCGCTGCAGTGCATTTACTGCTGCACTTAGTGCAGTTGCCTCACCTCACTTATGAAGATAATGTGCTTTCTGAGGACGTAGCAGTAAAACAGAGTGACGTACTGAATGAGGAAAGGTCGAATAGAAATCGTTTGGGAGAGCTGGACAGATAGCTCAGCAAAGCTCCTGCTTAGAGCACAGAGGCCTGCCCTGCCCCGGGACACACTAAGACTTTGACTGAGACAGGGTGTAGTGGCGCGCGCCTGTAATCCTATTGTTTGGGAGGGTGAACACAGGAGAGTCACTACGAGTCCCATCTATGTAGTGAGATCCTATAGATCCTATAGACCCTGCACTAAAAACATTTAAAGAAAAAGAAATGGTTTGGGAGCCCAGGTCTTTTCCTAAAGTTAAATATTATTTTTGTATTTTTAGTACTTGAAAGATGAAGATGATGATCTCGTGTCTCCCCCCAACACAGAGGGAAACCAGTGGTACGACTTTCTCCAAAATAGCAGCCATCTTAAAGGTATCTGATGAGCCAGCTAGACCTGGCTGTGTGGATGTTTGAGACCGGGTTTTTTTTTTTTTTTTTTTTTTTGTCGGACCAGGGATTGAACTCATGCCCTTGTACTTGCCAGGGAAGCGCTTAAGAACTTATTCCACTGAGCCATCTTCCTGGCCCCTGAGACCGGGTCTTGAGTAGGTCGGCTAATAGGTGGTCACATACCTACTAGTAATTACCTAAGTTCTTCAGACTTAACTCTTTGTGTCCGTTTTATTTGATGAGAGGGATAGTAAAGTAAGAAATAGGGTATGATGCTAACTTTGGCAGATAGAAAAACATGGTGAAATTAACTGCTTTGATAACTATGCTGAGTCCAAGTGAGATGTTACCATCGCTATTGACACCGACCAATTGTGGCACCACTGAGCGTGTGCACTCAGACCCCAGGCCCTGTGGAGGTCTCAGTCCCACCACCCTGTCCTCTTAAACGCCAGGTCTCCATGTTCCTCTGCCTGACGTGGCTGCTCCCCTCCAGCCTAAGTGATTTGCTGGGATGATACACAGAACTCGGGAAAGCATGCAGATGTCCTGATTGGTTTATTATAGCAGACTGAACTCAGGAGCAGCCTTGTAGAGATGCCTGGGGATAGGCAGGCAGAGGGAGGTCAGAGCTTCGTGCCTTCCAAGATCCAGTGTCTTTGCCAGCATGGAAGCTCCTGAACCCCATTTGGGGCTGATTAAATCATTAGTCTGGGGGTTGCACCCCACCTTAGGCTCTGTGCCTCCAGGAGGGTTGGAGGGCAGACCTGATTTGGGCTTGCTTTTCCTCAGCCAGGGCCTATCTTGAAGCTATCTAGGGGCTTGACAGAGTTGTCCCATTAAAACAAGACCTCCCATCACGCTTACCACCTAGCAGATGTCAGGGTTTGGTTTTGTTTCAGTATCCTGGGGAATGAGCCAGTAGTTTTAGGAACTCTTTCCAGGAACTAGGGACAAAGACTGAGACTACAACAGCTGTCACTGTTAGGGGTTTCTGAAGCTTGCATGCTAGAAATTCATCTTGTCCTACACAACTGGGCCTGAAGTGCTGTGTAGGACAAGGGGAGGCCATCAGAACCATGGAAGAGGGGGGCCTCAGAGTTAGCTGTGTATGCTTAGTCTTCATTTTCATACAGGGAAGTAGCCTCAGCCTCTCTTGCATTTTCACCTAAATTGGAGAATATGATGCTTGTTTTAAGTGATGTTATACATCGCTTTACTGCTAAAGAATTGGTTTAGGTAGGGCTAGTTTCCTGTCTGCTGTTTTGTTTTAGTACTGCCTGCCATTGTGTGGCAGTGGATGGAGATGAGTGAGCTATTTCATTACACAGCTTCTAATTCCCAAAACTTTCCTTTCTGACAGCCAGGAGAGCCAGCAGAACCCACTGCCGGATTGTGGTGGAGCTGGGCTTGTGCTGTGGGCAAGTGGTGGGTGGGGTTGATGGAAGGTAGGAGGCTGGGTGGTTGTAGTGAGAATCCCACTGCACAGGAACTGTAAGCTGGCCTAGCAGAGCATTTTATCTTAATTGTGGTTTACTATATCTTTTTTTGTTGTTGTTTCTGTTTTTGTTTGAAACCAGAAAGTCCTTTGCTGTTTCCTTATTATCCTCGAAAATCATTGCATTTTGTGAAAAGGCGGATGGAGAACATTATTGATCACTGTTTGCAAAAGCCAGCAGTAAGTTTGAAAGAGATGCTGTCTCTGTGTAGCAGCAAGAATATCTATACTATATGGTTTGCTTAAGTAAATACCATAATCATTGAGGTGAACTGTAACAAAAGTGCTGATGCTCAGCTGTGTGTAGCTCTCAGAATGTCAGTTTCACACGGTTCAGTCTTACCCATCTTGTTAATTTCTTAGAAATTTAAAAACCTGATTGGTTGGCATCCTCAGCATTGTATTTGCTCGCAGCGCACATCATAATAAGTGGCTGTGAAGGAGCCGTTAGACTGGGGGTAGCTGGCCCATCGCCTGCGCAGTGAGCACAGTTGGTCATGTGGGTGACCTGCTGCTGCACTCAGACAGTGCTGGTCACGCTTTCTGTAGTATATCCCTGTTCACATTAGTGCTCTAATTAAGTTTTTTATTTTTGTGGTCCTGAGGATAAAACCCAGGGCCTCCCACGTGCTGTGCACTCTACCCCTGAGCCACATCTCCAGCCCCTCTAATTATATTTTTAAATCTTATTTTATATAGGATGTAATTGGAAAATCGATGAATCAGGCAATCTGTATTCCATTGTACAGAGATGCTAGAAGGTAATTCTGTTTATCTGTTGAGTGGTATAATGTAGCAGCCAATTCAAATTTTCCTCACCTTTTTTCCTTTTTGTTTCAGTGAGGACTGTACACGTAGACTGTTCAAATTTCCTTTCCTGTAAGTGTATGTCTCCCTTCCTTGTGTGAAAAATACACTTTTATCATAAGCTTAGTCAGCTAAGTGCCATATTATAACATTAGATTTTTTTCCCTCAGGTGGAATAATAAAGCTTCAAACCTGCATTATCTTCTTTTTACCATTTTAGAAGATTCACTTTATAAAATGTGCATCTTACGGAGACATACTGATATTTCCCAGTAAGTATTAATTTGAAGTTTAAATTGAAAAGATAAGACTGTTACTTTAATAATAAAACACACAGCTTCCCTAAGAGCATTTCAGTATTTAATTAAACTACCTCATGACTTTAGGTTTGTCATTTAACTGTTATAATAGTCTCATGGCATTAAAATGATAAGACTGAGTTAGGTGGCTGTGATACTCCTTCTCTCTTGTTCTAAGTTAGCATTTTATTGGTAATAACCATTGTATATAAGAGTGTTGTGGAGTAGAAGTGGTTAGGGAAAATACGACAACAGGATTATGTCTTTTGAACTTTCAGAAGTTCAAAACTATTAATGATACCTCAGAGAAAAGATTTTCACTGTGAGTTAAGCATGCCTTTCATTAAACAAGAGGGCTCACCCACACAGTCTTGTTTTGAGAATCCAGTCAGAGTTGTGAAAGGTCAGTCGTGTTCAGGATACCAGATCTCAGTGGTTCTCACTAAGACCAGGATGAGAGAGTTGTCCCAGAGGTCCTTGTTAAAATAGTAGGTGCTTTGGGCCTGTGAGAGTAAACTGCATGCAAGGTTTATCTGTCTGGGTGTTTGAACTTGTACCAGTTTCTAGAATGAGAATGGTGATATTGTGGCCTGGAATCTGGTGTGTAGGTCAGTGTAGTAACACTGCCAATTGTGTTCTTTCAAGATTTAGATTATTGGCTGTTCAGGTTGTTCCACAATGTCTCCCTTTTCCTCTTTCTTTTTCAAGATCTGTAAATAAAGGATTGATTGCCATTAAATTTGGCAGTTTCACATATGCCACAACTGAGAAAGTCAGAAGAAGGTAAGTCTTGACACTTGTATAGGAATCATAAAGAGATGTGTGTGTGTGCATGTACGCATGCGCAGTTAATGCAGTCAGACTCAATTACAGGATGGTATGGGTAAAGGGCTCCGTCACTTCCCGCACAGGGGTAGGGCTATGTGTTTTATATATAGACAGTTACTTGCCTTACTCATAAATGGAATTTCACTGCGCTGCAGGAGTTTATATGGTGATTTTTTCCTATAATTCATTCCTCTAAGCTCATTGCTTGCTGAGAAAGTAATGTGCTCTAGGAGGCGAGGCTGAAGTCCTTCTCACCCCGAAATGATGAAGACTTGTGTTCTTAGCGATGTGGTATTTTCCTAGGATGCAGAAGGTTAGCAGTGCTTAAGCTGCCTACAAGGCCTTACAGGGAGGAGCTGCTATGGGAGGCTGAATCACTGTTTCCTTACTTACAAAATTTTGTTTGTTTGAGACAAGGTTTCACTGTGTAGTTCAAGCTGGTCTTGAAGTCACTTTGTAGCCCAGGATGGCCTTGAACTTGCAGTGACCTTCTTGTGTCAGTCTTCTGGGTGCTGGAAAAATAGCCACACCTGGCACCACCATGCCTAGCCTCTTAAGACATTTTTTTAGTGGTAGTGTTTGGAGTTGCTATGTCCTTTTCATGTGTAAAATCTTAGTTTTTATTTTGTATTCTGGCTGAGCCTGTTTACCCAAGGTATTCTGTGCAGTGTCACTCACAGAATTGTCAGAGGCTTAATACCTCACTCTTAGCAAGAGATACCTAGAATGGTGAACCAGCACAACCAGGTGCTCTTTCTTAATGCATACCAATTCCTTTTAAATTTGATACAGGGTCTTGCTATGCAGCTCAGACTCATAGTGATTTTCCTCTCTCAGCTTCCCCAGTGCTGCACTCACAGGCATGCACCACCTGCCCAGTTTCAGTGACTGGCATGGTGTACCTGGGGTTCCAAGGCTGGCACAGCATGATGTACCTGGGATCACACCTGAGTCCTTGTGCTTGCCAGACAAGCATTTAGACTGCCGAGCTATCTCCTGAGCCCTTGCATACCTATTTTTAAGGCCTAGCTTTATTTGTGAATAACTAGTACATAAAGTAATTGTGATTTTAGTACAAACTAATGGTATATTTTAATTACCATTGTAGAGGATGTCACTTAATTTAAAAAAATTTTTTTTCTCCATTGTAAATACGTATGTAACGTTTTCTTGGTAGTCATGATCATTTTTGAGTAACGGAATTTCTGTCACTGGTAGCACCTACAGCTGTTTAGATGCCCAGTTCTATGATGATGAAACGGTAACAGTCGTTCTTAAAGACACAATAGGACGTGAAGGAAGAGACCGGCTGCTGGTCCAGTTGCCACTGTCTTCAGTATATAATAGTGAGGATTCTGCGGAGTGTCACTTCCCAGGGACATACTCTAAAAGGTAACTGACACAGCAGTTAAATCGCTTGCTATCACCATTAGCTAGTTTTTAACATACATCAAGGATTCTAGTTTTTAAATGTGCGAGGTGTTTATAATTACTTGTGATAACCATAGGGACGTCTCATCAGAAATACTCTCATTTTTTATTCAAAAAAATACTGACTTTAATAGTTCCCCTGTCCCTCCCTTCATGGTAAATCCAGAAGTGTTAGCTTGAATAAAATGGGGAATTATTTGCAGTGGAGAATAGGACTTATTTAGAGCTAAACTTTTTTTCCCCATAATTTTATTGATATAGAGCCAAACTTTTAAGAGTAACTTTACCCTGCTTTGTAGTGGAATTATTTGTTTTGTATTTGCCATAATGTTTCTCAGAATTAGGGCCTCAATAACCACACAGAGTACATGGCCAATTCCAAGAGATGGCTTTAGTTGACTAAATATTAAGTAACTACATTTCTTCTCTAATTTAGAAATGTTGCCATTTGTTTTCCGTGGAAGTCAAGACGATGCTCTTCCTCTTTGGAATCGTGCTTTCATGAAGCCCGGCAGTTCTATACAGTGGCTGCTAGCATAGCATTAGCAATGGGAACGTGTTCGTTGGCTGGATGCGACTGCTAGGAATCCAGGAAGGAGCCCTTTGATTCTCACATGGCTTTTTTCTCCCTCTAGGCTGGATGAACAGTGCAGTATCATCCCCACACGTACCATGCACTTTGAGAAGCACTGGAGGTTACTGGAAAGCATGAAAGCTCAGTATGTGGCTGGGAATGGTTTCCGAAAAGTGTCCTGCGTGGTGAGTGTGTGCAGTGCTCACTGACAGTGGCAGCAGGAGGACACATAATGTGGAAGGCCTTTTCTTTGAAAACTATAAACCAGTTTCTGATTTATAGTTTTTCTGCTTATGAGCCTTAGCTATTTAGTTCTCTGCTTCTGAATAAACTACGTTAAGAATAATTCTGGAATATACTAGTCTTCATGAGATTTCTGCTGCTGAATATGGATATCCTTTTATATAAAGCAAAGACTGAATTTAATAGTTTATAGTAAATTAGTGAAAAGTATTAAAAACATTCTTTGCTTGAAACCTCTAAGTTGTTATATAAAATGTCTTTGTTAAGCCATTAATGAAAAATGTCCTTATATGGCCTTTTCTTTAGTTAAGTTCTAATCTCCGTCACGTGAGAGTCTTTGAAATGGACATCGATGACGAGTGGGAGCTGGATGAGTCTTCTGATGAAGAAGAGGAGGTGGGCGGCCAGCCTATAAAGATAAAGGAGGAGGTGCTGTTCGAGTCTGAGGCAGGCCCCCTGCCTACCACCCCCACTGCTGCTTTGGCCCCCGAGATTGTCATTAAGGTGGAGAAACTGGACCCTGAGCTGGATTCCTGAGCCAACTGGCTTGTTTGTGTGTCATGGCAGGAAGGACACGGGACATGGGCTGAATGTCGTGGCCCGCTCTTGATTTTCTTTGTGTAACAAAGAAATAAACAGTAAATTTTATTTTTTCATATTTTTTGCTGAGCTTTTTTTTTTTCTTTCTTTCTTTTTTTTTTACTATGTGCAGAGCTAGTGTTAAAGAAAGCATAAATTGAATGTGAAAAGAAAGGTCAGTCTTTTCTGTCAAAAGAATTATTCCCATTTGGGAAGAAATTAGTCATTCACCACTGGGAATTTTGATGCATTTATTTTTAAACTTAGCATTTACCATTTTTCCACCTTCCCCTTTTAGTTCACTTTAGGTCTCTAGAATACTTTGAAACTAATATTTTGAAATAGAATGTACTGATTCACTCTAATACTAAGTCAAAGAAATGGATCCTGCCTTTTATGATTTAAATGGCCAAAACACAGCTGGATACTTGGATTGTTTGAGTAAGCAAGGTTTAGATCTGTCCTTTTCCCTCTGTATGCTTGGTCAAGGACATGCAGTAGCTTTCTGTTTGACCACAAGGGAATATGAAAAATATGAATCAGCTAAACATAATACAGCATTAGTACAAATGAGTTCATGTTGACTTCTAAATGCTCATTTCTACAGTAGGATAGTAGTTAGTCTGCAGCGACTTTCAAAGATGTCCTATTTTATCTTTGAATTTTGTTACCACTCGCTGATAAAAGCTCACTTTTAAAGCTTTAAAAACTTTCAGGCAGAGCCAGGACGTGGTGGTGCATGCCTGTAATCCCAGCACTCAGGAGGCTGAGGGAGGAGGATCATTGCAAGTTCAAGACCAGCCTGGGCTACAAAGTGAGCTCAAGAGAAAAAAAAAACCCTTCAGGCAGGAAGACATCCTATAACCAGGTAAGAATGTGACTGCAGGGTGGCCTGTAGTTTGTCATTATAACAGGTAGATCACTTACAGTGGATTTAAGTTAAATCTTAAAAATTACAGGAAACCTTTGTTTGGACTAGACTTTTGCACTGGACCCCAACAGACCAGACTAAAAGTCCACATGGAGTCACCCATGCTAATGTTCCACATCTCCAAACTGAAAGTAGATTATCTGACATAAGCAATAAGAAGGGAAAGAGTCAAGGGCCAGAATTCCCATAGAGCCCAGTTTCTGCAAGGCTAACAAAATACTCTGCCTTAATCCATACCAAAAAGTACCCTAATGTTAACCAAACAGTTACTTTCTGTTCTGTCTCCCTAAACATCAAAATAATCTATGTGCTTTTGTTTTATTTCTGCTGTATTTTCACTCTTCCTTTGTCTATAAAACCAGTGTCTCTGCTCATCCCATCAGAGACTTACTCTATTTTATGGAGTGTTACCTGATTCTAGAATCAAAAAATAAACCCAGTTGAGACCTTTAGATTTGTTCTGACTTTGTCCTTTGACAGGACTTCCCTTTAGTTCTCCAGGGTGTCTCTGCTGGTTTGGTCTTTGTGCATTTGAAGGGACACCTGAATGGGAGCTGTGTGTGTAGGTGTGGAGCACCTTGAACTGCAGTCGCCAAGAGGTGGACTGTGGCAGCGCACAGCCTTGCACACGCTAGACCCTCAACTTGCCTGATACGTGGTTTGCATAAGTGTCAGCGCTTGTGGCATAGCATAAAATGTCTTAACTAGCTTTTGTAAGCAGGAGAAGGAAACTGTCATACCATATGGACAAATAATAGTTTTTAGGTATGTAGAACATTATGGAACAAAGACAGATTTACCATATAATTTTGATGACAGTTACAGATTGTTCTTCAAATGAATTATAATTTCACAGTACAAAACCAGTTTTTTAATTAGTAATCTGTCCCATGTGATTTAAACATTGAATTTATAAAGATTTTTTTTGTCTGGTTCAGCCCACCCTAAGGGCAGAGCTGGCATGACTTGTGGTGCTGGGGGTTGAACCACAGTCTCTGCGCTTGCCTAAGTGTGCCTAAGCAGGCACTTTAGTCCTCTGAGCTATCTTGCCAGCTCAAGAGTTTTTCATTTATGCACATTTATTTCACTGGAGTACAAGGAGCTAGTATATCTTTCCGGCATAGATACAAGTTAAAACCAAAATTTCCAGACTTTTTTCTTGAGCCCGGGATCAGTGCTACTTGATGTGCCACCATCTCATAGTGAGTTAGATTATTGTACTTATAATTGCTGGAGATGTTTTTGATTGTTTTGCAGCACTGGGGATGGAACCCTGGACCTCAAGCATACTAGGCAAGTGCTCTGCCTTTGCTTCATCCCCAGGCCAAAAGTAGTTTTTTCATTAAACCTTTGAGTATATTTAGGAAGGAACTGGATTTTATTAAATACAAATTAAAAAGTCTAACTATCCAGATCTCTTTACTAAGCTGCATAGAGCAAATAACCTTCCTATTGCATTTTCAGATGTATGCTCTTAAGTTTTTAAACCCTTGGGCACTTTGCCTCCTGCGTTTAGAACCAGTTGGATCACTGTAGGCGTCATTTCGGCACTCGTGACCGCAGATGTGAATGTGAGTTTTGAACTGAGTGGCTGCAGCTGAAGTGTCGGGACATGAAGGAGTCCAGCTAATGGGACCCGCGGCTCCTGGCTTTTGCCTGGCAAGGCCACTGAGCGCCTGTGTCGACCTGTGGTTGCACGAGGGCATTTGTAGGGTGCCCTGACCAGGAAGAGCACATCTTGTTTACAGTATTCTCTGTTCTTTTCCAAAGTAATCTGTGTTAATGCTTTTGAAATTGAAATAGCCTTTATCAGATTTAATAGAACTGTGATTTTTCTATCTTTGTTTTATCCGTGGTGTTCCTGGTATTTTTCCAAAATAAAAATTTTACATTCCAAAATACAAAATGTATGTTTTTAAATTCAGAACACTTAGGCTGGGGATATAGCTCAGCAATATAGCACCTGCCTGGCAAGCACAAGGTCCTGAGTTCGATTCTCAGTACCATAAAATAAAAATTAATTGGAAATGTTTGGATATAAATACAAAAATTAGGGCCGGGGAGATGGCTCAGTAGAACAAGCGCTTCCCTGGCAAGCGCAAGGACCTGAGTTCAATCCCCGGTTCCACCAAAAAAAAAAAAAAACCTTCGAATAAATACAAAAATTATGGCGTAGCCTTGAGTGTAACAGTGTAACTTAGTTAATGTAATCCTTACCGTTTTGCAGGAAATCCAGCAAGCAGACATGTGCCAAGTACCTCTTTCTAAAGGGTGCCTTGGCTGCAACCAGGTTGCATGATTTCACTAGGAGCTACACAGTATCTCTGATAATTTTTAAAGTAGTGGCAGCCTTTTTTTGTACAGGAATTGAACTTACAACCTTATACTTGCCGGGCAGGCAGGTGCTGTGCTGCTGAACTGTATTCCTGGCCTGAAGTAGTGGCAATTACATAGATAGATTTTACATTCACCAACAGCTTTGGGCAGCCCCAGTGTATCATTTTTATTCTCACAGACTCAGGGAACTGGTACTTAGAAGTACACTGTCAAGGCCCTAAAAACCTTACAGAGTGACAGCAAGAAATACATTTGAAGAGAAATGATCTCTTACAAGGAGTATTTCATTCAGAAATATTTGTTAAGTGCTTAGTTCTAGAAAATGAATTCTTACTGTGGTAGATAATTCTGTTTACCTTCCATTTGTTTTTTGTTTTTTTTTTCTTTCTTTTTTCCCCCCTTACTTCTGAGGAAATTAGACCTTCAAGAACAGGATTTCCCATAAAGTGGACACTACTGCATCAAAATTACCCAAACCAGGGAATAAAACAAATCTGGGAATTCCACGCTAAGCCTCTCAGTGTGAGCATGGAGTCCAGGGCTGCATTTGAAATTAGCTTGTCCAATCACTCTCATGCCCTACAAGACAGAACTTTCATCTATAAAAGTTTTTAGGAATTAGATGTTGATAATTTTTTAGTAAGGTCATAAACTGCTCCCTTGAAAACTGATGTATTTTTTAAAATGATCCTACCTAGTGGTTAATTACACATGCAAGATGCTCACACTTCTATAAATCTGTGTACGCGATGGAGGGTATAATTGTATCCCAACTCTTTACGCACTGCAGCATGTGGAAATGAATCCCTCTGGGCCACATTTCAGCCCTAACAAGATAATGTACTGAGGAGTAGATGCCGAGCTGGCTACGCACGGGCCAGGCTGGTAATAAGCCATTATAGTTCATAAATGTCGCCTTTCCTCTGGTGACTGCAGTCAGACTGAACTCGCTGCCCAAAGACATGAAGCATAATGTATAGTTACAGCTCTATGGGTTATAAATCTGTCCCACCACAGGACTATAAATGAAACTTATGTTTACCAGCTTGTTATGTTTTAAATGTTAAAACGAGGACACAAGTTTTCTTCATGCTTCTTAACATTTAATTTACAACATTCTCATATCCTCTGACGAGACTGAAAACCTAAGAGAATGTTTCTCTTCATTTCTGCAATCCTGACTCCTATCACAGAGTGTTATTTTAAGTTATATTTCTTTCCAGTTTAGACAGTAAAACTGGGTATTTAGGAGCCAGATTGGATGAGTGGCCAACTGCTATAAATCACCCTGTGACTGGTGACACTTTCGTGGGACTGCAAAACTTCTAGTGTCGTGACAACACAGCACATCCTTCTCATGAAACAGAGGTGTGAAAGGTCTGGTACATACAGAAATGGAATAGGACCTGCTAGTGTCACAGTGTGAGTAGCGAGGGCTGAGGCCATTGTTCTGGGCCCTGCTAAGCATAGGACCCATTTTCTCCTCTGCTAGAGCAGAAGCTATCAGAGACTGAGTAGCCAGGGTGGCAGGAACAAAGTCGTGACCAGCCAATGGCGTCACAGAAAATACCAACCATGCTTTAAAGGGAGTAAGACGTGGTTTATTCTGAGGTGTGGATGCAGGGCCATGTCTTGGATCTGAGTTATTCTGAATGTCACGGTCCACCATGGAAGATACGTGAATTTCTGTAGTCATTGGAGAGAAGACACTCATCAATGAATACATTTAATGAGCACAATAGGGGAGCACCAAGGAGGTACACACTGTGCAAGGTGTGAAACCCACAGCATTCAGAAACTCTCACATCCTTGGATTCAGGGCTGGTAGAGGCCATGGGTCTGCTAAACTTGGTGACATAATGATACTTTTGCAAGCACTTGGTGCTTAGTTTGCTTTACCATAACCAGAGGAACACAGGAAGTGCCCACTCCATGCCTCATTCACTGCAGGCAATGCAGGCCCAGTGCCCACCAGCGTGGTTACCTCAGCCCCAGGACGCTGACTCCAGTCCTCTGCACACTCCACAGCAGCCCTGTCCCAGAGGCCTGAGGAATACCTGAGGCCTGTACCAGAAAACCAAGTTGAAATGTTTTAAGGACTGAACCAAACCCTAATTTTGATTTAAATGTTTTTCAAACAGAAATTGCTTAAAGCCAATGTGAGGAGGATCTTTGAACATGTATCTCGCAGGCCCAGACTGGCCTGTTGTCCTGGGCAGGTCAGGCCTGGGCACTCTACATTCCTGAAGTGGTCTGAGTTGGGCTGTGCAGCTTTTCCTGGATCACGCTCCCATCACTTCCATTTCCTGGTCCCCCTGCCTTGTCTTTCTCCTTGGAAGCCAGTTTCCCAGTGTGGGAGAGCACATTTTCCGGAAGCTTCTTGAGAAGGCAGAGGAGGTAAGCTTTATCTGTCAGGACGCCTTT